AAAAATATATATATATATAAAAAAATCTGTTTGGGTATTTAGATCTTTACATTCCTGAAGAGACAGACAAAATGCGTAACCTCTTATTCTATTTTGCTCAATACAGATTTATTCAGAAAAATGAACTATGGTAAAGATATCCTTTTATTACAGACGATGCACACTGTTTTAATTAAAGGTTTGGATGCCAGAAAGACTATCTATTTACATGGAGTCTCTCTGGTATTCGGGGTAAATACACTGTGGGAGTAGATACCTGCAACTTCAACCTCAGCATTTCTTTTTCCCTTTTTTTTTTTTTTTTTTAATTATTATAATTTTTTTTTGGTTGCTAATTAAATCTGTTTTTATAATGGTGTAAGCCAAAAAGGGATGCTTATTATATAGACGGCTTCTTTATAAGCACCATTATTGATGCGGGGTTTACTGTTTTTAATAACTGTACAAGCTCTGACTATTAAATAAAAAAATCTACCACTTTGTCTCATAGAAGCCCATTTTATTTGGAGTTTACTTCTGAATTCAAAGGCCTAGAAAGCTAATCAGGAATGTGGGAAAACGAAGAGGTTTGAAAACCCCACAAAGTATAAGAACAAACTTACGAGTTACACAAGTGCGTGTGAAACAACGCCATGAATTTTTACACAGTAATCGGACAAACCCTAGTCACTAATGGGTTAAACAGCAAAACTTTCCATTTGTCCATTAAACAATTGGTACAGAATGCATTTTTATGTCATAAGTGTAGATTGTCCGTTATATTTTACATAATTGGTTTTATGTATGTTTTTATTTTTTGGCATTCTGTGTTTGACAAGCATTGAGAGAGAAACAGGCGTACAGTGACATGGCTACAATACGAAAGCAAAAACACATGAGAAATCGGACAGACATTATATGGCATGTCAAGAATAATGCACATAAAAAAAAGAAAATTAAATAAAAACAAATATTAAATAAAACCAATCTGCGCCAGTCGCACGTTAACAGGCCACTACTCCATACTAATTCTTCTTTACCTCTCTTCTGCCTTTGACACCATTGATCCTGCTCTCCTTCTTCAAACTCTTTAATGACTTGGTCTCTGTGACTCTGTCCTCTCGTGGTTTTCCTCTTATCTCTCCCAACGCTCATTCAGTGTCTGTCTCCTTTTCTAATGATACCCCCTCGTCCTGTCTCATTTGGAGCCCCCCAAGGCCCTGTCCTTGGTCCCTTTCCATGTTCTCTTTATACTGCCTCTCTTTGCAAACTTATTGCCTCATTCGGATACCAATAACCAATAATGACACCCAAATATATCTTCCCTGCTGTCCTGCAACGTGTCACTGCTTGCCTTTCTTACATCTCTGACTGGATGTCCTCCCGCTTTCTGAAACTCAATCTCTCTAAAACTGAGCTCCTTGTCTTTCCTCCTCCTCTTTCGCTTTCCCTTCAAGTGAATGGTACCCACATCAGTCCATCCTTGTAAGCGCACTGTCTTGGCGTCATAGTTGACTCTGGCCTCACCTTTGAGCCTCACATCCAGTATGTTACCAAATTCTGTAGATTCCATCTTAAAACATAGCCCGCATCCACCCTTTTATTACACAAAATGCTACCAAGGAGCTTGTCCATGCTCTAGTAATTTCCCGCATGGATTATTGTAACCCTCTCCTAATTGGTCTTCCCAAAAGCCATATTGCCCCGCTACCGTCTGTGATGAATGCTGCTGCCAGACTGATTTTCCTCTCTCTCACTCCACTGTCAGTGCTTATATTGGCTTCCTATATCCTATAGGAGTCAATTCAAAGGGCTAACCCACACCTATAAAGCTCTGACCAATTCTAGCCGCTCTTGCATCTCTTCACAGATCCATAGATATGCCCCTTCTCGGTCTCTCTGCTCTGCCCGTGACCACCTTCTTTCCGCTGCTCGCACCCGTACGTCCAACTCACGCTTGCAGGACTTCTCAAGGGCAGCTCCCTTTCTATGGAATAGCCTGCCTACCACCATCAGACTCTCCCTTAGTCTTCAATCGTTTAAGAAGTGCCTTAAAACCCATCTCTTTAGGAAAGCTTATGGCCTCCGAGAGTAACCTCTACCTCACATACCTGTCTCTTGCTCTCTCCTAAAGGGCAGCACTCTACTCTCTCCTCCAGCTCTGCTTCACTCCCACCTTGTTTGATTGCCATTTCCTGACCTATTGTGTTGTATACCCCACCTCCTATATACTGTAAGCTCGTTTGAGCAGAGTCCTCTTCAACCTATCGTTCCTGTAAGTTTATTTGTAATTGTCTTATTTATAGTTACATCCCCCCTCTCGTAATATTGTAGAGCGCTACGGAATCTGTTGGCGCTATATAAATGGCAATAATAATACTAAAATGCGGAGTGGAGAGAGCATAGTAAGCAAGACTGAAAAGTAATTGACCACCGCCATTGGATTCTCTGACGTGAGTCTCCGGAAAATAAAAGTTAAGGAGACAAAATAAAAAAGGGCACCGGCTAACCCTCAATGGTCCAAAGTGAAGGGGACGATTGCAAGACTGCTGCCTTGGTCACAATTCTCTGGTTTGGGGTCTCCGAGTGCACCCCATCTCCCGCCAAGTGAGTAGGACACTGCAGGAACAGTTAAAGCAAGGTATGTGGGTTCAGTAAAACGAGTGTGCGTCCAGTCAATTTGGCTCCACCCCCATAATTGGTTTTAATTATTTAAATCATTCACTGAGTACCGTAATTTACTATTTAATTATAAGATGTGTAAGATAAATCTGTGAATTACAATAAAATGTTTTGGACTTGATATGCAGTAAGGATATTTTTGAGGTCCAATACTGTTACATTTGCCTAAAGATACATTGTAGGCACTATAAGCATTTCATCTCATTGAACTGGTTATAATGCCTGAATTCCCCTGGCACTGTCCCTCCATGCTGTTTTAAATTGAGCAATTAACACAAAAAAAGTGACTGATCTGCCACCTGCCCCTTCACACTGGCCCCATGCTAAATGTATGGCTCAGGCAGACATTACATACTTTTAACCATACCAATTCATACCAGCAAGGGGGCTCTCAGCCAATCACATATGCCCATTGCTGCTCAGGTTAATTTTTCCTTGTTGGTCCAGGCAGAGGGAAGGGGCTGCTGGGGACTCTCGTTTTAGGATTGACATATAAATAAACAAAACAAACAACCAATAAACGGTTTAACACTGGAAGGATGGTGCCAGGGTTTTCTACGCCATAACCACATCAATGAAATGAAGTGGTCACAATGCCAACAGTGTCCCTTTAATCTTCAATACAGTTCTGTCCCACCGAATGAAGAAAGTGAAGGTCAACCATTTGTTTAAGTGAATGGCATTTGATAGGACCAAATTTTTAAATTGCTGCTTGGGAAGCATATGATAAAATTTGAAACTGATTTAAAATAAAAATTACTTCTGGTCCAGAAGGTGGCGATGTTGAGAAACTGTTGCACTGTTGAAAAGTTATTTGGATTTACAATTTGGGCAACAGATGAGAAGTAAATGATATTGCTATGGATACCTTTTTAGATCCATTCTATTTCCTCCCACCCTCCATTGATTCTGGATGTTGGTGATAAAGGATATAGTTTTGTTTTGGATCCAGAAATAGAAATGACAGGTTAATTGAAATGGTGAACAGATTATATATCAGGACACAGATTTAACTAGACTCGTGTATTAGTTTTCTGAGGAAACCTAAAATTAAATTTTTGTTCATTTGATCCAAAAACAAATAGCGGTTACAATACAGGGAAATGGATCACTAAACAAATTTCGTTCAGTGCCATTTGTTGGACGGCTGCTGCAGTTCTGAGTGAATGGCCCCCTTTAAGGGTGTTGTGATGGCGATCTTTTCCCGGTGCTCACGTCCAATGCCTATTTTATCAGACTGGAAGTGTGTACATAACCATCCTTTAAAAGGAATGTATTATTTTGCTTTTAATTTTCTTTAACCGTGTTTTATAAACAGAATTCATTATTTCCATAACAATTAAGTTGTCTGAAATTCGTTAAATAAATGAGAATTTTTACCAAATTATGGGCAAATCAAAAAATGTTCAGAAAAAAGTGAATTATTCTCTCTATGCACACCTGTAGATTTAACATTTCTCAATGTGCTCCTGTATTAGCAGTTGAGCTGATTAGATCACTTTGAATGCAGGGTCGTGATTGACGTCATTATACTTGGTTTAACTCACATGGCTTTTACAGATATCTGCATTCTTCATAATCTGTGCCCAACAAATAGATACTTCAACTGATGCTTTGGTAGTCATCCTGGACATACAGTGGTGTATTTACTCAAGTAATTAGTGTAGGACCCACCGATATTGGGGTGCGGTGACATAATTAGTGTAGGACCCACCGATATTGGGATGCGGTGACGTAATTAGTGTAGGACTCACCGATATTGGGGTGCTGTGACATAATTAGTGCAGGACTCACCGATATCGGGTTACTGTGAAGTAGCGTTGGACTTAACACATGGCCGTATGGTGGAACTGAATCCCCATATTTGTTTGCTGAGATAGGGGATTTTTTTTCCAATTTGACAATTTTTATTGTTTTGTCATATAAAAGGGTAGGGGTACAGAAAGTGAAGAGGGAAGGGGGGACAAAAGGTTTAAATCACGAAATTGCAGTTTGTACAACAATGCTTTGTGTTAAACAAGTCATTAACCTTGATATACATGAAATTGCACTTGTACTGTGATTCTTTTTATCAAACATGACTTTATGTTGCTATATTATGTGGCATCTTGCTGGATGGTTAGCGGGGAATATCTAGTATACCGAGGCAGCTTATTAGCATTTGTTCATGGGGTCTATCAAGGACCGTCTCTGCTGTCGACTATTGCTATGTTTCCTTGGGTCGGCCTCTTTGTCTTTCTCAGCAGTTCTAGGGTGTGAGGGTAAGCCGCGTTTTATATTGCTTATGTTATTTATATAGGGTTGACACAATATACGTTATAGTTTATTATGTGTGTTCACTATTCTAGGTGTCCTGTGTTTCCATTCGCTTTTGGTTTAAAGGAGGTCTGGTGATATCGATTCCTAAGGACCTGGTCCATGGGCTGTATTTGTATGCGGTAACCATCTCGCAGCTTCCTTTTGTGATATCTTGTAAAAAGTCTAGTGCGTGATTTCGTGTTTCCCTGTAGGACTCTTGGGTAAGGTTCGAGGCTGGGGGGGGGAGAGGGGTACAGGGGGTAGGAATCATAACTAGGGTAGTGTGTATAACCCTGGTGAAGTCCGTTACTGACGCGGACATCTTTGGGCAGGGAGTCGTGTCTTTAGTCTGGTTCAGTCGTGTAGTGTGTTATAGCTTCGCTTGAGTAGCTAGCAGGCTTTGCTACCCATAGTGGTATTGGTTTAGAGTGTCTTGAGTCATTTTAGCCTCTTTTCGCATTAGGCTAGGGGGGGTTTGGGAGTGGCTGCTGTGTTGACAGGTAGGTACGCCACATCTCGGCCATAGGTAGGCTCAGTTTCCCTATTTTGAGTTGATTCCACATTTGTAGTTCATAATCCACTGTTGTTGACAACAGAGTCTTAATTTCCTGTGATGAGGGTAGTGTAGAGGTCTTCCAGTTTCTAGAAATTAGGTTGGAGACAGTGCTCAATATGATATATATCATTTTTTTTGCTGGCTTGGGGATGTGGGCAGGGAATGATCTTAGGAGAATTGTTTTGGGCTCGTGGGGCAAGGTGTATCCCGTAACATCTTGAATCATATGTTCCGTCGTTGTCCAGAGTTCGTTCACAGTGGGGCAGGTCCACCACACGTGTAACATTGTGCCTCTGTGTGAATTGCAGCGCCAACATATGTCTGGTGTGTCAGGATACATGTTATGTAGTCGTGAGGGTACCATGTACCATCTATATAGCAATTTGCGTGACGTTTCAAAATGTGCCGCACATGAGGATAAACCTTCGTGTGTTGTGTATATTTTCTCCCATTCACTAGGGGAGAGCTGTTCTTGGAGGTCTTCCTGCCAGTCCTTCATGAATTTCCATGTGACTTCTGTTTTGGGGTTTTCTAGGCCGTCGTAGCAGATGGACAGCGTTTTTTTCGGAGGTGTCGCTGACATACATTGTCGTTCAAATTTCGTCGCTGAGGTCTTTAAAGTCTGGTTACTGTTGGTGATCGAATTATCTATCAGTAGAGATTTTAATTGTAGGTACGAGAATGCGAAGTTCGGTGGGAGCGAATATTCGGTTTGAAGGTCTGGGAACTGTTTTAGGCCTTCAGCTGTGTAGAGGTGGGATAGGTGCGTGATGCCCTTTTTTTCCCATTTACGGTGTGGGAATGTGCCATTGCAGTGGTGTATTGTTTTGATCGGGGCGGTTAATTCCCACGGGTGAGCTGAGCATAGTTTTTTCCTGCAGGAGTCCCATGTGGATAGCAGGAGTTTGGTGGTGGGCAATAGGTCCTTGGAGTTTGGCCTTACGTGTTTGGGAGTCCACAGCGTGGATGAAAGGTCGTTGTTGATGCAGAGCTGGCTTTCCAACGCTACCCATTGTGGGGGCTGGTGTGTCGTGTGTGCATTGATTACATTTGAAAGTAGAGCTGCGTGGTAGTATGCTTTGAGGTTTGGGAATCCCATACCTCCTTGTTTTGTGTGTTTGAAGAGCAGGGCTTTAGGTACCCTGGGGCGTTTACCGCACCAGCAGAAGCGGAGGAGGGCTGCTTGCATCTTGTTCAAGTAGCTTTGTGGGATCTTGATTTGCAAGGACCGGAAGAGATACAGGCATTTAGGAAGTATCGTCATTTTGATAGCCGCTATCTTTCCGACCCATGATAGGAATAAATTCTTCCAACTATGTAATTGTCTTTCAATTTCTCGAAACAGTTTTACGTAATTTGCTGTGAAGAGGTCAGTGGTCATGTTAGTTATCCTGATGCCTAAGAATGTTAGGAAATCTGCTCTCCAGTCATATTCGTGAGTTGCTTTAAGGGTATTTTCAGTATTCCTGGGTACATTGAAGCATATCGCTTGTGTCTTGGCGATGTTGAGTTTATAGTAGGATTGTTGACTGTATGTGTGTAGTTCTTTGTGTAAAGAAGGGAGGGAGATGAGTGGTTGGGTGAGTGTGAGTAGAATGTCGTCCGCGAATAGATTAAGTTTGTACTCCTGTTGGCCAATAGGAACCCCATGTATGCTATCATTTTTGCGGATGGCTATAGCTAGTGGCTCTAGGGCTAGGACGTATAGGAGGGGGGATAGTGGGCAGCCTTGACGGGTGCCATTGGTGATTGGGAAGGGTTGGGAGCAGAACCCCGAAGTTAGTACTGTCGCTGTGGGGTTGCTATAGAGGGCATGAATGACCGCCAAGAAGGGCGGAGGAAAGCCGTAAAAGGTCAGGGCTTCGTGTAGGAAATGCCAGTTTAGGCGATCAAACGCCTTTTCGGCATCTAACGAGAGCATGATGCTCTCCAAGTTGGTCCGTTTTAGGAGGTGATGTATGTCAAGGACCTTTCTGGTGTTGTCTGGACCCTGTCTGCCTGCCACAAAGCCTACCTGATCTGTGTGGATAAGGGAGGGTAGTATTGTTTTCAGTCGATCAGCGTGAATTTTTGCGTACATTTTAGTGTCTGCATTAAGCAGCGAGATTGGTCGGAAATTTTGGCATACAGTTGGAGGCTTTCCTGGTTTGGGTATTGTGATTACGTGGGCTGACAGGAACTCAGTGGGGAAGGAGCTCTGGTTGGTCGCTGCATTAAAGAACTTGGTAAGTGGGGGGGCCAGTATGTGTTTAAATGTTTTGTAGTATGCATTGGTGTACCCATCTGGTCCTGGTGCCTTAGCTCTGGGCATTCCCTCTATGTGGTGAAGAACTTCTTCTGTAGTGATTGGGGCACTGAGATGAGCTGCTTGGCGTGCGTTAATAGTGGGAAGTGCTAGGTTGGTGAGGTAGGACCGTATGGACGTTGGTGTGGGTCGGGGAGAGTTTAGGTCGTTTTTCAGGTTGTACAGAGAGCTATAGTAGTGGGCGAATTCGTTACAGATCTGAGCGGGCTGAATTATTTTTTGTCCGTTGGGCTTGCATAGGAATTGTATTCTCGTTTGGGCTTGTTTGTCTCTAAGTCTTTGTGCCAGTAGTTTCGTCGCTTTGTTACCCATCGAGTAGGATGTAGCTTTTAGTTTTTTCAGCGCTGTCGTTGCCTTGCGGAGATGAATGACATTGATTTCGTTTTGTGTGCTCTGTATTTGCTGTCGGAGTGACGTCGTGGGATTTGTTTGGTTCAGCCTATGTAGGTCCTGAACTTTCTTGAGGAGTGAGAGCAGTGTAGTGTGGTTGGTTCTTTTAAGATATGCCGCTCTGCCTATCAGGATACCACGGATGACTGCTTTGTGGGCTAGCCAGAGTGTGGCGGGGGACGTGTCAGAAGGACTGTTGCGCGTGAAGTATAGAGTTAGTTCGGTTTTTACTTTGTCCAGGAATGAGGGGTCGTTGAGAAGATGTTCGTTTAACCGCCATGGACTACGTTGTTTAAATTGGTATGAGTCTGCAAGGACTAGTGACACCGGGTTGTGGTCTGAGATCGAGGACGTTTCTATGTCACATGTTCTTATTTGGTGTAGGTGCGTGTTTCGTAGGAGGAACCCATCTATACGGGAGTAGGTATTGTGGACTTGGGAGTAATGGGTGTATTCCTTATCGTTCGGGTGTAGGGTTCTCCAGACATCGTATAGTCCATGTGCTGACAAGAGCTTATTTATAGAGTTGCAACATTTGTGTAGTGTCTTTTTGCGTTTTGTTGAGTGTCTAGCTGTGGAGTCTGCATTTGGGTCTAGTATGTGGTTATAGTCGCCGCATATGATCGTGGTACCTGTTTGGAGTTTGTCCACTTTTTCTAATAGGGAGGCCAAGTAAGTCGTCTGGTTGTCATTTGGGGAATAAGAGCTCACTAGTGTGTATGTTGAGTTGTTCAAGGTACATATTAGAATGATATAACGGCCCTTCGGATCAAATTCGACTGAAATTAGGTCAAAGGCTAGAGTATGACTTAGCAGTATCGACACACCTTTGCTCTTGTTAGGGGAGGTCGCATGATACTGGTGCGGGAAGTTTTTGAGTCCCAAAATGGGGTTGGAGTCATGTTTGAAGTGGGTCTCCTGTAGGCAGACAATGTCTGCACGTGAGTTAGTAAGTTCTTTGAGGAGGGTGTGCCGTTTGTTGGGTGAGTTCAGACCGCGTACGTTATGTGTGACTATTTTCATTGTCTGTGGCTAGTGTGGGTGACTGGTATTTGTGAGTCGTATGTTGCGCGTGTATGTCGTAGTGTTAGGAGGAGGGGGTGGGCTAAGCCTCGACGGAGTGAGGCGCCTGTCAGGGCGTCCGGTGTGGGTGCTCGTGTGGGTCAGTAACGGGCTTCCGTGGATTGGTCGGTGTTGTTTACCACTAGGTCTATGATAAACTTGGTTGAACACAATAAAATAAGACAATAAACAGTTATGCAATAAGCAAAGAAAGTATTGTACAAAAATAACTTGTAGGGGTATGTGCCGTAACTATGGCACTTCCTAAGTGGGGGGTGTTGTGGTCGGTTCGGGGCGAGCGGAGGTCGCTACGGGCCCAACTTGGGTCGGGTGCGCCTCGCCCAATTGTGCGGTTAATATGTGTCGGTTGGAGCGACCGGCACCGGTATGGGCAGTAAAGGGCCTGAGCTGGGGTAGTAGAGGCTGAGACCATAGAGGTCGGCAACCGATAGGGTGTATCACAAGTGAGTACAGAAGTGTTGTTTCGTAAGGCCCATTGCGCTTGACGCATTTAATGCCGCTCCCATCTCCAATGGGAGGGTCTCATAGGCATATCATAAGGGTGCTAGCAATCTGTGAACTATGCATTATCGTTACAGTATAATCTAGTGTATAACAGGTAAATAACAGTATAAACGTGGAAGGAACTTGCTGTTTCCCGATAGGCATGTTCAGTCTTCTCTTGGAGATGTGCGTCTCGTCTTCTGAGGCCGTCCGATTTCAAATGGCGGTCTGCTGGGGTTCTTGGGATTCGGCTGTGTATTCAGGGACATATCCCATTGTTGCAAGAGGTTCAGGCCTTCTGCTGGTGTGGATGCTGAGATGAGCTTCCCGCCTTTCGATATGAGCAGTTTTGCCGGGTATCCCCAGCGGTACGGCACATGGTGGTGCCTCAGTGTGTCTGCTACGGCTTTGAATGAGCGTCTGCGGCGTAGAGTCTCTGCTGAGAGGTCCATAAACATGAGGACATCTTTGAATTGAGTGGGTAAGTCCTTTTTGTTGCGGTGAGCTCGCAGTATTTGGTCTTTGATATGGAAGTAGTGGAGTCTCATGAGGACGTCCTTTGGAGTGGATGGTGCCAGGTGTTGTGGCTTAGGAAGCCTATGTATGCGGTCCAGCAGGAACATTTCTGCGGGAATGTCGGGAAGTAAAGCGTGGAAGAGCTCCACAGCGAAGGCTGTTAAGTTGTGTGGCGCAATTTCCTCAGGTACTCCCCTTAATCGAATATTATTGCGGCGTGATCTGTCTTCTGCGTCCGCTATTTTGGTCTCCTGGTTATGGAGCTGTTCCTCAATTTTGCTGAGGCGTGTATCAGATTCCTTTTGGGCTCCCATGAGGTCCCCTACAGTGTCCTCAAGATGAGAGGTCCGGGTTTCCAGTTCTTGGAAGCCTTTTCTTATATCACTGAGGGCTGCTGTGATTGTAGATTGCATTTTGGTAACTACTCCATCTAGCATGGATTGCAGGAGGCTCTGAGTCAGGGGGCAATCGTCTGGTTTACTCACTGTGGGGTCATGCTCCGGTTCAAAGTCCGGGTCGGCGCCATCTTGGATTTGAGTGTCGGCAATTTTAGACTGCGGCGTGCGAGCCGCAAAGAAGGCTGATTTATCTTTTGCCTCCGCGCTTTTTTCCCCCCGGTGCTGGGACATCGTGCCTGCGGTGTGGGACTGGGGAATCACCCGTTTTGGCTGCTTTGTGCCGCTTAGAAGAGCCCGAGTCAGCGGAGCTCACTTAGTGTGCGTCCATCGCACTCGATGTCCGGCCACGCCCCCCGAGATAGGGGATTTTAAGTAGCATTATAGTATTTAGAAATTAATTTTATGTGTGAGCTGTTCCTTAATCTGTATTATCTATGAATTTTGGTCACTACAGCAGCACCATTCCTCCGAATGCATGTTTCCCGTGTGCCCCCAATTCCTTTTTGTCTTTACCACAAGGTGGACCAGACGTGATCTAGAGTTGGTGAGTCTGGGTGTGACTTGCCCACAAATCTGACATCAGACTGAGTGGGTTTAATCCGTACTGATTCACTAAGGAAAACAAAAATATGGGATTTAGATTAAAATTTAACATTTAATAAAAAAGTATAAAAAGGGGATTACCTATTAGTTTGAAATCAAATTAATGATAGTACACGTTACAGTACCTGCCGCTTCCATCCGCCCCTATTTAACACCAGACACAGCTAAGGTGCTGGTCCATGCTCTTGTTCTCTCTCGCCTGGACTACTGCAATCACCTTCTCAGTGGTCTTACGTGTTCCCAGATGAAACCACTGAAATCTATAATGAATGTGGCAGCGAGGCTCATTTTCCTGTCCGCCCGCACCTCCCACGCCTCCTCCTCTGGCAGTCCCTACATTGGCTTCCAGTTAGATATAGGGCTCGATGTAAGATTCTGGTGCTTGCTTACAAGTCCCTACATAATGCGGCTCCAACATATCTATCCTTCCTAATACACGAGTATGTCCCAGCGAGCCCACTGCGTTCTGCTGAAGAGCTACGTATATCCTCTGACTTCTGGCTGCACCTTTTCTGTGGAACTCCCTTCCCTTCTCCGTTAGACTTTCACCCAGTCCCCACTCCTTCAAATAATCTTTGAAAACTCACTTCAGGAAAGCATATAATTTTTAGCGGGTTTTCATTCCTGCCCCCCTATGACTTATCTCCTGCAACTGTGAAAAATAAGTTCTCAGTGATTACTTTTCTACCTAGTCATTACATTTCAACCTATATCATTACCCCTACTTATACCCTTTGTGTCAATATACCCCACTGCCCTCTAGCATGTAAGCTCATTGAGCTGGGCCCTCAACCCCTCTGTTCCTCTACGTCAAACTTGTCTGGTTACAATTACAGGTCTGTTAGTCCACCCATTGTACAGCGCTACAGAACTTGTTGGCGCTTTATAAATATTAATACAAGGAGTGTAATCCTAAGTAGCGACCTTAACCCCTTAAGGACACATGACACGTGTGACATGTCATGATTCCCCTTTATTCCAGAAGTTTGGTCCTTAAGGGGTTAAATTAAGTGTCAGTATTGTGTATCTATGTACCAAAAATCAGTTCAGTATAGAGTAACAAAAAAATCAATCTACACCGAGGTAGTTACAAGTAAAGACCCAACCTACTAGAGGAAGGGCTGGATTAACATAGGGGCTGATGGAGCTCCAGGCCCATGGAATAGGCCCATTGATTTAAAAAAAGTTTTTATTTATTTATTTTTTTTATACACACTACTCTTAGGGTTGTTCACCTGGCCGGTATTTATTTATTTGAAGCTGCCTGGCCGGTGCCGATATTGCAGTAATACCGGCAATACAAATGCCAGTATTTTTCTCAGTATAAACAGAGATTACTCTGCAATACCATTACAGGCCAGTAGGGGTCACTGTGTGTGTGGAGAGAGGCAGGGATAGGAAGTTACAGCAAATACCTGTATTGCTCTACTCAGTGATTCGCAGGGGAGCAGCTACAGAGCACAACGAATCCAGACAGCAGCTCCCAGCCTGCAGAGACCACCTACTACTCAGAGAAGTGAGTGATGGGGTAAAGGCTGCAGGGAGACATGGGGACACTAAGACACTAGGGGACACTGTGAGACATGGGGACACATGGAGACCTCTGGGGATGCTGGGACACATGGGGACACAGACACACATGGGGACACTGAGACAAGGATACACACACACACGGGGACACTGAAACACGTGTATACACTGAGACATGGTGAAACAGACACACATGGGGACACTGAGACATGCAGACACTAGGAACACAATGTCCCCAAGTGTCTGTGTCCCCATGTCTCCCAGCTGGTGTCTCAGTGTCCGTAGTTTCTCAGTGTTCCCATGACTCCTAGTGTCCCTTGTGTCTGTATGTCCATGTCTCCCAGTGTCCCTAGTGTCTGTGTCCCTAGTCTCCCAGTATTCCTAGTGTCTCAGTGTCCCCATGTCTCCCAGTGTCCCTGGGAGACATAGGGATACAGAGACATTGTGATGCATAGTCTCAGTGTCCCCATGCCTCACAATGTCCCCTCGTGACATGGGGACACTGGGAGACATGGGGACACATACACTAGGGGACACTGGGTGACATGGGGACACTGGGAGCAATCCATCTATACAACAGAATCAAACTAAGTAGTTTTTTTGGTGATTTCACAGAATTTTCTCTGTCACTCCTTGTGATTTACATCATGTGATGTGATGTCACAAAATACATAATTAGTTATACAAATTAGTAAAGGCCTGTAATTTTTTTCCAAGAAAGGTGGCGACCCTAACTACTCTTCACATACTCTTGCTTAAGTATGGAAACTTAAGAGGGATGTAGAGGAACAAAACTTGTGTGGACTAGCTGAAATGAAATTAGTTAAGGTAATGCCGACTTTGGTCTCTCTAACACTGTGCCATGTCCCCTTTCTTCTACACTCACTACATCCACCTTTTCTCTGTCTCAGACTATATACCAGGAACTTCTGCCTGCTAGTAAGAAGGTTGGGATAGAAGTGGACCAGTGAGTACTAGGGGGCAGTCCTTAGAAAGCATAGAACTAGCGCATCATTAGATGCATTTATGCCAAGCTCAGGAAGCTGTTGGCCAGCATGCATGATTGGCAGGCAGCCTGACATGTATTCATGCTAGACTAGCCTTCCTATTTTTTGGGCAGACACGTCTCCTTTTTGATCATGTTCGGAAGTTCTGGTTACATGATCCGTGTCACTGGCCCACCCTTTTACCCCGCCCATTGACTTACTGCTTCACTGGACACTGCTGTTAGGGAGTATGGATTTACTTGAAAGATGAAAGCATAATTTAGAGAGAGATTAGCATATTTTAAGAGAATCTGAGGTTTTTTTTATAGCTGCATCCTATGAGTTTCCCTCCAGCAACATCTTCACCAGATACATAATGATTGGGGATATGTCTGTTTTAGTGTTTTTGGTCCATAAGATTCTGTACTTTGGCCCCTCATAATTGTCAGCACCAGGCCCACTGGGCTCTTAATCCGGCCCTGACTAGAGGTCATTACAAATATATATATATATTCTCTCTCTCTCTCTCTCTCTCTCGTCAAGCCGTAAGACTTGCTTTCCCACAGAAATGGAATGAGGCAAAAATTTGATTCTTTGTTAAACTAATTTGCATGTGCCCACCCAGAATCCTTTGCGGTAGTAACATCGCAACTGTGTGTATATATATATATATATACATACATACATAATGTTACTAATAAAACCTATAAAAATCCTATAAAAGTAGCATCTACTCAGGTTAATGTCCCTCTTGGTTATTACCACCAAGGTGCATTCTAATATTATCAAAATATCCACTAGTTGATGTAATATAGATCCTGACCATAAGGGGTCACTGCAATAAATGTAATTTGCACAGACGTCGCTTAGAGAGTTTTCAGAAGTGAGATGACTGTAGTTTTAGGAATGATCCACTAGAGGTCGCTATTGCCACTAGGGTGCATTCTAATAACTTCCAAATTGCCATTGGTTAATGTAATATAGGTTCTAACCACAAGGGGTCACTGCAATAAATGTAATTTGCACAGACACCAAATTGATGGGATTTCATAGTAACAGGTAATTATCTTTTTATATTTGCTTATTAAAGTTTACGTTTGAATATTAACCACATATTTTTGTTTTCCTTATTTTTTTAGGACTTGTCTTAATGGGCCGATAGAACTCACTTATCATTCTCTTCCAATCGTCCTAAAATCATAGATATTGTAAGATATGTTTGATCGGACTTTATTTGATTTTTTTTTTATTTATTACTGGTATTTATAAAGCGCCAACAGATTCTGCAGCGCTGTACAATTAGTGGAGGATGTACAATATACACAGACAAATACAAGAGGTATAGAGAGCCCTGCCCATAAACTGATATCTAGCCATTGAAACTCTTTTATACTCTTTAGAGCTTACAATCTAAAGGATACCGTGGGTATTTGAGGCAAGAAGTAGCAGGGAGAATTTGGAGGTGATGGCTAAAAAAGTTAACAGAGTTTGCAATTTGAAGATTAGAAAGTATTAGCCTCTAAATAATAGACCAACCCCCTTTACTAAACACCTGAAATGATTCAATGTTCATTTCCAGTGACCAAAACAGATGAAGTATCAAGTCACACAACCTTCGAATGTGACCACAGTCTCCATTTATGGTTGGGAGCTGGTAATAACCGATATGACAAAGTTAGAGTTTTGTATAATTTACAGGGACTTTAGAAAGTAATTCTTCTTTGAATGTGGTCTGTGGAACAGAGCTGTGACCACATTTGTGGCCATGGAAAAGAATCATAAGATATCCACTGATCTGTAACTCTGTCATATTAAGGGCATGTTTCTTTAACTTGATTACATCCCCATCCAGTTACAGAGGACAATGGCCTCGGTTATATCTTCTGGAATGCCTATTGTTCCTTGTTTATGGACTTTTATAGGCCCCATAAATAAAATGCTCACTGTCTAAGAACCTGAGGAGATCTTCAGTATGATGAGACAAGTCACAGAAAGGTCTTGAACCACTGCATGGCAATATCTGGTGTTTAATGCGTTTTAATTGAATGAATATGGTGTCATTTTAACTGGGGTCAATAAAAGTCTAAAGAGTAACAAAATGAAGACACTATAGTGGGGAGTCTTTTGAAAGGTTATATGTGCATTAAAATAGAACAGTACAGCGCTACGGAATCTGATGGCGCTATATAAATAATAAAATAAGTCATAGGACTGCAGATCTGATTGACCCTTCTCTCTGTACCATCACTAAATTGTAACATGTTTGATCAACTGTTATGTGTATTTGTTCTAAATAAATGAAACATTTTTGAAAAATGTCATATTTGGTTCAATATTCAGTAAGAAGGCCAATTGAGGGTCTGTGTGCCTAGGTATATATAATATATATAATGTATAAATATAGAGACCTAAATTATTAGTGTCAATGAAACAATGTAGTGTATTCTCAATTTTGTAATATAAACAAGAATGAACAATTATTACTAGTTCCTTTGTTTTTTTTTTTTTAAGGTGCAGTTAGAAAGCTTATACAGTACATTAAAGTATTCCAGACCCTATAGTGTTAAAAGCACAATTTAGGTGACTGGCTTCCCCTTGGCCCCCCTTAAATTGGTTTAGAACTTACCTTTTTTCCAGCTCCGTACGGGTCTGCCAGGTGCTGACCCCACCCACACTCCACCTCCTTGGCTGAGATAATTTGAAATGACGATCTCAGCCAATCCAATGCGTTCCCAAAGGAAAGCATTGGGAGGTTAATGAACATGACTTTACTCACCAGAACAAATACATTAACCCCTTAAAACCGGAGGGCGTACTATTACGCCCTATTCTAAGCGGCTCTAAACGCCGCAGTGCGTAATAGTACGCCCTCACGGTTTCTCCTACTTCCTGCCTCCTCCGGTCCCCCCCCGGCCATGTGAGAATGAGGTCCTTGCGAAGACCTCACAATCACATGGCCGGGTTAGCTGGCTGCTGCATTGCTAATGACAGTTAGTCCCCCTGCTGGTTGAATTCAAATAAACAGTTAAAATCAGTGTAAAAAAAAAACTCCTCTGCGTTCTCTGGGCGTTGCGCCCAAATCAAAGATGGCGCTGACCACGTGGTCGCGTCCA